AGTCTCTTTCTTCCATAGTGCTAGCCAGTTGATGGCTTTAGATCAAGGGTGTCAGAGATATGGCCTTTAGGCTGAATCTGGCCAGTGGAGCCGTGTTATCCAGCATGTGGCCCACGAATCCAGGGGTGGGGAGAGCAGTGGTGTGACCAATCCCCAAATTCTGAGATATGGAGCTCAGTTAGATCCATTCCCATTAATCTCTGTGGCTCTCTGAGCCAACACAACATTGCTAATGGAGGTGGATCCAGATCTGGCCTGTGAAGCTCCTCCCAGTCCAGATACAGCCCAGGGAGCCAAGTGAGTTTGCTACCCTTGCTATAGGTAATAATTAACCAATACATTGCTCATTCTCATTCATTGACCTCATCCCCTTGTCACTGGAAACACCCACATGTGTAACAATAACTAAAAGTGCTTCAGTGCTGTAAGACTGTAGCTTTACATTGCAGCAATTTAGAAACATTCACTTTTCTTGGACAGTTTTATACTAGCCAAAATTTGGGGCAAATAAGGAGATCAGAGGTCACAGAAAAAGAGGCTCCTCCCCCTCCATGAAAATGTTTTGTTTGTCAAAAAAAGATTATCTGGGGAAGTTTTGAGGGGCTTCTCTCCCATCCCTCCCACCAATATTCCAAAAAAAATAAGCAGACACTTTTTGTCAGAATCAGCTTTAGTCAGAAACCCAGATTTCCATTTATACACAATGCCTGTAGAAAGTTTTTGACCAGATTTAATCAAGACACAATCTTACATGATTAATTGTATTAACATATAGTGATGTTTGGTAGGTTATAAAATAGAAACATTATCACTATTCATTTTTATCACAAAACTTCTTTGTAGTTTTTGTGTTTGTGACTAAATCTACTCTACTGAAATGTTATGTCTAACTGGTAAATGGTTTTCCTGAGACTTATTGTACTGCAAACTCCCAGGCAACATGTGCCCAGAGAGAAGAATTGCTTTGGCCTCTTCAGTAAGACTGGATTGGCAAAAGTAAATTCCTTTTCGGTATTCTACTAAGTGCAATGTATATGGTGATTGGCCTGACCTGCACAGTCAACTCAATCCCAGAAAGCTTGCTGATAAAATTAAATTGTTCCTGTATTTCCCTAGTAAGTCTGCATGAGGAAATGTACTGAAGTTCCTGAAGATATCAGGCCAGAGTCAGAACTTTAGCCCTTGTAAATGGGCATACTTCAGCAAGTTACAGCATTTTACAATCCAAAGTCTGCTGTAGGAGCTTCAAGTCAAAAGCTGTGTCAAGTTGCTTGAAGGTTCTGTGCATGTGAAAGACACTTCCTAGGTTCTACTCTTGACTATAGCAAGTTGAATTATTTACTGTGAACATTTTATCCAATGAACTGCTCCTCTTTTGTTCATGAACATTATTAGTGTACTAGTCATTTACTGGCTATATAGGTCAACTAATTGAAAAATTACAAGTTGTCTGAAGTCTCTTCACTTTGACCATTTACTCATCAATATGTGAAATCAGAACAGCGGGTAACATTTAGGACACCTGATATTGTTTCCAGGGCCTGACCAAAAAAATGGAAGAATAATAATTATTGTAAATAGGAGAAGGAAAGAACACTTGTTTCTACCTAAACATCCTTCTTCATAGATGAAGTGGCTATTCAAAGGAGGCAAGATTCTCCCTTGTGTAGAATGCTAGTATAAGACTCTTTCTCCTTGGAGTTATGCCAAGAGCTAAAATGGCTTGTAAAGTTGTGGTTTTACAAGTATCAAAGGTCCTTTTCTATTTTAACTGCGTTGTTACTGCTATATGCCTGCTCTCCAGAAAGTCCCCTTTACCATCTTACAGGGACTCATCAAATGAATTGAAATGTAGTCAACATCAAGCTAAAACTAAATTCTAATAATGTACCTGCCCTTCTTTGCCCAGCACCATTTTGTACGGTTTAAATTTACATCCAACTATTGAAAAAACATCTCCCCCTCTACTGTTCCTGTGGAAGACTGACACAAAGAACTGAGGGGGAAGCTGACTATTAGAGCTGATCAAATCTCCATCCTGATTTCAGTTTTGTAGAAATCACACTTTCTAGTGAATAAACATGGATGGGAAATCCCTGACCAGCTCCACTGGCTACAGACCGAATGCTATTAATGCACAGTGCAGGCAAATTGAACCACAGAGAAACAATTTCTTGCCATTTCCAGTAGTTAAGCAAGGTCCCTGGTGTTATGTATAATGTAT